GGGAAATGAGCTTTAATTGGTCAGAATTTAGCAAAATGCAAGTGTTATTGTCAACAATAAGCCCATCATACCTTTAGGCAGGGGTGATAACATTCTAAAATTGACTCAAGCTTGCTTTTCAAAAAATAATTACTGTAGCAATTTTGACTCTTTACCTCAAAAAACTTTTTAATATTTTTTTTACTTATACCAAAATTTGATAATAATAATAATAATAAAAAAAAACCAATGTTGGGCTTTGATTCTCGGATTGAATCTCACTTTTAAGAATCATAACCCGATATAAAAGAAAAGATTGCAAATAATGCGAAGTACAAGGAAAAATCAATCTTTTTTATAAAAAAAGTTAAAAAAAAAAGATTATTCGATCTCTCGCGTGAAAGTAAAATGAATCATACTCAATAATATAAGAACAATGATTAGAGATCGTGCATTTAAATTAATCCCAACAAAAAATTATCAACCAAGAGTCAAAGCTATGGCCGATTAAACCAACCTCCTGATAGTAAAGTTTTTATCTTTACATGTAGATTTCCTTTCCAAAAGTGTGGGGAGAGAGAGAAATTGGATTAAAGAAAGGAGGAAAAAAGAAGGGAGAAAATTGACTTTGAATGAAAAATCTAAAACCTCTATTGCTTTCTACTTTCAAGTTTATACAGTGCCCCGAATGCGAAAAGCCTAAAAGTGAATTGAATTTGTTAGGTCGTTGGTGCCCTTAATATTAAGGCCATTGACCTACAGCTGTAAGACCATCCCTCAAATTAAGGTGGTCGCTAAACCAGGCCAGGAAGTTAAGTGTATTAAATGAATAGTTAAATGAAAAATCAATAGGGGTTTGGGCATGTAATTTTACTTGACTTAGATTTCTAGAAATAATGAAGCAAAGGAAGCAATTATGAAACTGTTAAAAAGAAGAAAAAGGCTTAACAGACCAAATTATTCACATCTGACTTTGTAAGTATTAGCATCCTGCACAAGGGTTAGAGTCACCTGTTAGACATCATTTAACAACTTTTCTAGTTCGATCTGGCAATACAATTAACCGCTTGTCGAAATCTAAGACTGTGGAGATCATATGTTGAAGCTCACCTGCAGGATCAAGACTTTCGGCGTCACTATGGAGATATGGAGGGGGAATCACACCTCTCAAAATGGATAAAAAGTGCTAAAAGGGAATAAGTAGCTCACTTTTGCAGTAGCCAAATCACATTTTAAACCACTTTGGCTTGGCGGGTTTTTTCTCGGAAGGCTTGCTCTCTTGCGCAACAGGGGAGGGCACTGCACTAGCAGTAGCGAGTTCTGGGACAGATTCAACTGACTCTGGATGCTCCGCTTCAGCGATGACTTCCAAACCTTTCAAAGACATGATCTCTTCCTGAAGGAAGGAGGCTGAATTGAAAGCTGCAGCATCATCACCTAAACACTTCAACGTGACATCAGCCAGGAGTCAGATAACCCCAAATCTATGGAATTAAGAGGGGGACATGTTGAGCACAGCATCCATTCAACAATAAAAACTATGCAATTCAGTGAAACTTCTCAAGGGAATTCTAAGAAGTGGAACTTAACATGTCTAGGAAGTATTTAGACAACAGCATTACAATGATTTACTACCTGCTAAACATCAAATTAAGCCAATGTTAAACATGCCAATAACAGACTAAAAATAGCAAAATTGGATACTAGGCTTGCTAGTGACAACCATAAAGATGTATAGGCATTGGCACATCATAAGTGTGACAATACAGTCAGTTAAGAACCAATGTTGAGATGCAACTGACTGTTAGAAAGATTAAATGCTGAATCCATGTGAAAGCACACACTAACCTTTTGGCAGATCATACGAAAAATACACAATTGCACCAGGAATGAAACCAGCAGAGAAAAAATCCTGTGTCATGTCCTTAATTTGCTTCTTAGGAGGAGTAGTATCTGAAACATCAGATGTTAGACATTCATGGCATATCTTTCACAACCAACATCCAGCTAGTATTATATAACTGACCAAAAGTGTCATTCTGAAATATGCTTACATAAATAGAATGGTAAATATGGTCGAGCAGTCACTTTTGCGATAAGGTCTACTAAGCTCTGAACTGTCTCTGATGGATGAAATGTGACCTCTAATGTGTGGTTATCAGGAAAGCGAACCCTTATCACAGCCTGCACATGAACAAATAAACTTAATAAAACATAAAAACATGCCAACCTACTTAAGATTCACTACTCATCCTAGACAAAGTTCTTTCACCATTGGGATCGAAGCACTCTAAACACAAATGATTAAGAGAATCCCAAAAGCAGTAGCAAGAACCTTTGTTATTCTTGATCTTCAAGCTGCCTCTTCTGCTTCTCAAATCTTTCATGTCTTCGAGAACTTATCTGCTCATAATCGTATCCACTTCAAAACGTGTAAATATATTTCTAAAAAAAATTTCAAACACCCAGGTTACTGTAATTGTTTTACAAAATTGGCAATCATGCACAGCAAGAATGTGCACATACATGTCCTTTTCAAGACAGATAGCATGCCATGGTTACTTTGACATAACTACTCCCCAAAATCAACCAAAAAAAAAAAATGAACCAAGCTGAGAGGATAGAACCGATTATGAGTTAATGTTCATCAACAAAAATACCTTCCTTTTTAGTTGCCATTAGTCGATAGTAATCTTCTGCAGTGAACTCATAGAAGTCATCTGGCTCCTCTGCCCAGAAAATAAATAAAATAGCATTTTATCAATTTACAAAAATGAACTGACACTTATAGTCAATAGGCAAGTTAAAAGTCTGAAAATATGTTTCGGTAGGTATACCAGCATTGGACACTTCATTTTGTGATGGCAATGGTCCCACAGTTTCAAAGACACGAATTTCTCGTCCAAATTTCTCCTTTGCAGAAGCAGCTTAGCCTAAAATCATTCAAAGGTAAACAAAAATAAATAAATAAATAGCATAGCAGCAGTCTGCATTCCACAAAAGTTACAGAAGTCTCAAATCAAAAGTCATAATGAATATTTTAACCAAATATCAGAAGCAGCGTCTTTGGCACCTATGATGAAGACCATGTAATTAATAGTATACAACAATGTGCGGAGGTTGTAATTAAAATTCTCTTCTTATTATACCAGGATCACAAAGATTCAAACAAGATATAATTGAGATCTTTTCTGACATCTAAATATCTCTTCTACGAACACTGGTGGCAGCACAACATGCAGGTGGAACAAACAGAACTAAAAATTGGTAGACCAAATCAGAACAGGATTCCACAACCCCATATGCACTGATATTCCCGAAAATAAGGTTACTACAATAACAGTCACTCAAAGAATTAAACAAAGCAAGGGCAGGGGGGAGAACTAGTAAAAGTTTAAAACGTTATATTACTTTATATTCATTCAAAGCACTAATTTTTTTACAGCACTTTCACCTAAAAACCAAAAGGGGTGCTACTGACCGATAGCTGTTCTCTTTGACGCAATGCCATCATCAGTTTATGAATGCACCACAGTTTTCGATACCGGGTCTCAGCACCATAAACCACGCAAGATAATAAAGGTTGCAAAAGCAACCAATGTGAAACTTAATTCATTCCATCACAATTGAGCTAATTTCAGTAATTTGTTATGTTAAAAGACTTGAGCTCAACTACCAATACAGTGAGTCTTTAACTTATTCACTCCAATAAAATTGCACCATAATGAAGCTAAATTCTCTCCTCAACCATTATATCAGTATCTCTTTTTTCATTGAGTTAAATCTTTCTTTCACTGTCTTGTAGCATAGAAAATCAAGAGACAAACAAACCCAATTGAATAAACAACAAGAGGAACCAGACCCATCACAGGAATCAATTATTATAGAAAAAACCCAGATCGGCCCATCATTAAAAACAAGATTTTGAACTCCAAAACATTTGTTAAAATCAATAAAATAAAAGAAAAAAGGAAAGACCTTGGCCGATGCAGCCTCCATGATATCAATGCCAGTTAATCTTCTCCTCTTCAAAGGCAGTGGCCAAGCACCATCTAAAATCATCAGCAGAAACTAGAAGTTCTCAGTTTTTTTCTTTGGGTTGCTTCTGTAAAAGCTGCTACTTGCTTTGCCTCTGAGAATTCCTTTCCTCCTTCGTAAGCATAGTAAGACAGGTAGAGAAATGAAAGATTATTTGGGCTCTAAATTTGGATTGGGCCACTAGATCTTTTTACTTCAAACTTTTGGGCTGATTAGTAAATTCTAGTGATCACAAAATAATTCGGTATCGAAGGATTTTAATTTATATCGATTTTATAAAGTAAGATTTTTTTTTTAATCGGATGTCAGGGTTGGATATTCAACAAAAAAGAGTCAACGTAGAGCTGGAGATGGGTTTTAAATACTCTATCTCTACCCATCTGGATATATATAAAAATATTTTATATTATTTAATTAATGTTATATTTATATATATATGTATATATTATTATTTAATATTTTTAATTTAAGATATAATAAAAATAATATATTTTTATATAATTAAAAAATAAATCATATTAAAATTGATATTTTTATAAATATTATATTAAATTAATTTAAATTAGATATGAATTGAATACGAATTATATATATATAAGATCAAAATTAAATATAAAATATAATAATTTAAGAAATCAAATAAAATATTTTAAGAGTTAGGCTGTCTCATTGGCATCCCTAATATATTTATAAAGTCTTTAACCTATGAATTTTTTAATTATTTTTTAGTTCATTTTAATGCATTAAAGCTTTTTAGTTTGATATTAAGAGATTGATATATTTTTAATATTTTATTATATTGTGAGAGATGTGTCTCATTTTATTAATTTTGTTTATATAATCTAAAAACTCAACTAACATTGAATGAAATAATTTTTTATTTTACATGTTTGTTTAATTGAATTTTATACTTCTTTTGGTTAAAATGATATTTTTGTTTAGTTTGTGAATGGTTTTATGTTAAAATGATACCTTTCCAAATTTTCAAACAAAGCCCCCCTAGCTTTCTCAAAATTAAAATCGGACCCCGATTCAAAAACCCACCTTTCCTAAATATCCATTTTTGATCTTTTTTCTCAAGAAAAATAACTTTTCCGAGAAAGTGAGTAAGAGAGAGAAAGAGATGACAATGGATAGAGAGAAGGAAAGAGAGATAGAGCTCGAAAGCGCAATGTACGCGAATTGCTTGCTTTTAGGTTTGGATCCGTCGATAATCGGGCTCGGAGCCTCCAACGGAACCCCTCGTGTCGGACTCTTCCGCCATTCGAACCCTAAATTAGGCGAACAGCTTCTTTACTTCATCCTCTCTTCTCTTCGTGGCCCCGCTCAATCAGCCAGAGTAATAATCATTTTTTCCGGTTCGGCTTACTTTTAATCTGGTCCGTGTCGGTTTTGAGTTTGGTTTTGCTTTTGAATCTTTCAGGATTTCGATAGAGTTTGGCCGATTTTTGACTCAGCGCAATCTCGTGATTTTCGAAAGGTTGATTTTTCGATTGATTTGTTTTCCTTTTTTCCTTTTACTTTTTTGTTTGAATTATTGTTTGAATTTAATTTATTTATTTATTTATTGATATTTTAGGTTGTGCAAGTTATAATTAGTGAGCTGGAAGCACAAGGAGCTCTACCGAGGAGTAATTCGAGGGTTTCTTCGCTTGCTACTTGCTGTGGACCAAGGTTAGCTAGTTAATTTCTGTTTGGATGCCGAGAAATTCAAGAAAATTAAGCAAAATGGAAAAGTGTATTAATTAGCTTGCCTCTTTTACTTAGCTCTATTTGCATTGAGCTCGTTAGAGTTTTTTACTATATTTTGGCACTGATTGTCAGTGTAATATTCATAAAGTTTGACTCTTTTTATTTACGAGTAGGTTTTCAGCGGTAAAGTAAGTAAAGTAATATATATAATAATAATAATCAAATCGCACCATCTCTATGGTAAGTAAATGCCCCTTTTTCTCCTGTAGTCGGAATTATTTGTAATGAGATATTGGCTACGATTGAAAAGGTCTTATCAATAAAATTTCCATTTATACACAATCTAGGCATAGGTAGCAATCCATTCTATAACTCTTCTCAAGAAAGTTAAGCAAAATGGAAAAGTACATTAATTAGCTTGCGTCTTTTACTTAGTTTTATTTGCATTAGGCTCATTGGAGTTTTTTACTATATTTTGGCACTGATTGTCAATGTAATATTCAAAGAGATTGAATCTTTTTTAGTAGGATCATCACATTAGGTTTTTTATGCTTTTGGTTGTAGATTTGTTGAACTTTTATGGCAACTTTCGTTGCACGCGTTGAGAGAAGTTCACAGAAGGACTTTTGCGGCGGATGTTGCTTCTAACCCATTGCCTGTGCCATTAACTGATGTTGCATTTTCACATGCTGCTACACTACTTCCTGTAACCAAGGTAGTGCTGCTCTATAGATTTTTCATATGAAGTACAATTATAGTTTGTTATATTAGGTCTGTACTTCATTTTTCTGTGTTTCTGTGTTTTATTTTCTCATATCATAGTTCACTTCATGTATAGTTTCAGCAGTAGTTTCAAAATGCTTTTTCTATTAGACCTTACATAGCAGTGAAATAACATGCTTATTTTTAAACAGGCTAGAATAGCACTTGAACGGAGGAGATTTTTGAAAAATGCAGAAACAGCAGTGCAGAGACAGGCTATGTGGTCAAATTTGGCTCATGAAATGACTGCAGAGTTTCGTGGTCTTTGTGCTGAGGAGGTAAGTAAATAATAGTTAATCACTCATTTGAACTCTTTTGAGTATTTATGTCAAATTATCAAATATAATCCCCTTGCTGTTTTCCTTTTTGTTGAGGGATGACTTTGACTGAATATCTTTACTAATGCCTTTCCTTGGAAAACCTTGATCTCAGGCTTATTTGCAGCAAGAGCTGGAAAAACTACATGACTTGAGGAACAAAGTGAAGTTGGAAGGGGAGCTATGGGATGATCTTGTCTCTACTTCAAGTCAGAATTCTCATTTGGTTTCAAAGGCAACTCACTTGTGGGAGTCCATATTATCTCGTAAAAGTAAGTAGAAATGAATCAACTATGTTCATTTATATTGTCATTAACTTGTTTGATTTCATACCCTTGATATTATCAACCTATTCATCCAGGTCAGCATGAAGTTCTTGCTTCAGGTCCTATTGAGGATTTGATAGCTCATCGGGAGCATAGGTAATTTGCCACTGCATGTCATTTTGAATGGTACATATGCCACTCTTTGGCTCCCCTTTTCATGTATATTATTTTTCAGGTACCGCATCTCTGGATCTTCTTTGCTTGCAGCTATGGATCAGAGTTCTCAAGTTCCTTATACTGATGTTTTATCCGTTCAGTCTGGTGACTTGGATGACAAAGAACAGAATGATGGACATAACACACGGGCCAATGGTGAGACACTTTCTCGGGTAGATGATAGAAGTGGAAGGGTCCACCAGACTGTTGATGTAGCTGAAATTATCAGGCGTTGGACGCATGCATTACAACGCATTCATAAACAGTCACTTCAGCTGGTATGCTGTGTTATTATTATTTTTTGGTTAAGTCAGCTGTCTTAGCTTCTACTAATACTTGGTCATTAGTGATATACTGAGTTTCTGGATAGCTTAATGTCTGTATAGCACATAATTATGAATATGATATTTCTTTAAAGTTGTGTTTTGTAAATTTTATCGACCAAGTATATATTTTGCAACATTAAGTTTGAAGTTGTGGCAATGAAATTTATGCTGGTTGTTCTTCTATTTCCATGGACAACCTTTATTAGTTATAAGTAAAGCCCTCCACTTAAATTTTTTCCATCTTTGGGAGATGTGAGCAAGATATTGGTTATGGTATATCACAATTGAGCAATATTCAGTTTGCACTTTCTAAATTTTAAGAATCTGGAAATTCAAAATTATTATTCACAGTTTCAAGGAATGGTTGATTGCATGTTGCTAATTGTCAGTGTTGAGGTAAGGTGCTAGTATGCAATAATGGGTATTGCTATTGCTTTGCAGGCAAAAGCTAACAATGGAAAGGGTCCTGATATTTTACGAAGTGCGCAAGATGGTGGCACAAGTGGCCATGCTGAGTCATTGGCTGCAACTCTTGCTGAGCATCAGCAACATCTGGCTAGCTTTCAGGTAATGTAATAGCCATTGAACATTAAGTAGTTATTTACAAACTCTAAGTACCGTGAATTTGAGCATAATTTTGAGCAATTTCTAGTTTGATTAACATCTAGGGCAATTGTACCTATCTTGTGTATCTTATCCTCATCAAGTTGGTTTTTAACCAAATTAATTGTTGGGCTGATGGTCCTAGAAACAATGCCAGTACTTGGCAAGTAGGTTGTTGACGTCTTCAAGAACCTTAAATATTGCTAGATCTGATTCCCTTAATTTACCATTTGCTTGGTGTTTGGTAAACAATTTTGTGAGCGTATGGATGAAAATCTACCTTTTGACAGCCCCAAAATGGGAAATTCTCTTTGCAACCACTAAAGGATGGTCAAATCTTGATGATCTAGAACCTTAAAAAACTGGCAATTTATTTAGTTTATGAAACTTTTAGTTTAAATTATTTGGAGATCTAAGAACTGACTGAATGGGACTATATGAGTTTGTTTTCCTCTTCTGTGCTTTGCTCGGTACATGCATGCTTGTGAGTTTACAAATACACTTCTACATATGCCTCTTCTAAACCATAAATTGCTCTTATGATTTCTAAGTTATATAAGGGTCACATTACATGCATAGCTCTCATAAACCATAAATTGCTGTTATGAATTCTAAGTTATCTCTAAAGTCTTTACAGCACCTCCTTGTAAACTCCTGAATACTATTCTTACTATCTAGATGACATGCAGAAATTTTCTATTCTAAATTTCTAGTTCATTTGAAATGCAGGTGCTTATTAACCAACTAAAGGAAGTTGCTCCGGCAATCCAGGAGTCAATATCAACCTGTACAGAGAAAGTAAATAGCATTTCGTCCAACTTGCCTTCTATGGCTAAACATCGTGGTCAAGCCACCTCCCCTATTCGAGCTCAGAGCAGTGGAAGGACCTTGGTAAATGTTCAATCAGTGTTTCACGTCATGCAAACATCGAAACTACTTTGAGACACTGAGTGTTTGTGTGTAGAACGTATGACTCATTAGTAAGATATTTTTCTGGATTTTGCAGGAAAGTAGCTCTGATGATATTGGTGACATTACTTCAAAAATCTCTATTGTTCAGCTTGACAAGATTTCAGCTACTCCTGCTTTAAAGCTCCCGCAGTTATTTAGTTTAACCCCAAATTCATCTGGAAAAGGTGGAAACATGCAAAGGCGACATACTTTAGCACCGCACACCAACCAAATTGATACTCTGTCTGAAAGAAGCTCTGTGGACCAGCCTTTAGCAAACAATCGTCTAGATAACCAACCCCAAGGTTTGCTGCTTTTCATGCTTCACTTGTCTCCCTACATTTAAATAAGCTTTAGTGGCTGGTTTAATGCATTTCGTTTTATCAATTGAAAGAGAATTGGTGATTTAACTCCTTCATTGGAAGATTTTGATTCTGGATTTCACATTGCAGATAATGACAATTCTTATGTTCAGAACTTAAAGAGATCTGTTAGGCAAGCTGCACTGTCAATGCCATCCTGCAATTCAGAGTCATCACGGGACAGTCAATCTGATGAAAGTTCTGAACACTTCTTCGTACCTGTTTCATTTACTAATTTTTCTCGTGGGGGACCAGAAAATAAAGTGGGCTCGATAAGAAGTAAGAGATTATTTTCAACTCAAACAGACAATTCCTTGCTTGACGGCCATGCTAGTGATGATCGTATTGTGAGTAACTATGATGACAAACCACACATGATGAACAATCTGGATTCTCTTAATGGTTATGATCAAGTAAATGGATTTCTCCCAACTGCTGCTTCAAGTTGCACAGCTTCTGATGGGCAAAGGTTATTTTTTGACATGGAAGAAGCACAAGATCAGGTCTTCTCCCCTCCTTTGCTGATGGACACATCCCTGTTAGCCGAATCTTTTGAGGATTTGCTCGGTATGTTGGTTTACTGGCAAACTATTACTTTTTAAGTCATCCATGCAGACACATCTACCAAATGAATGCAATATTCAAGTGCTACAAATGGGAATTTCACCATGTTTTTGAATTTCAAGCATAATTCCATTCTTTTTTTCAATTTCCACCTCGTTGCAACCGTATTTGATTTGGGGGTTTGTTGTGCAGCTCCACTTTCAGAAACAGAAACTGCCTTGATAGAGCATTGAGACTGGAGTTTGAACGATTCTTTTAGGATGCTTTTGATTTTGGACCTTGGTTGAGATGTCCAGAGCACTCTCCCATTGATTTGTTGAACGACACGATGGGGATGCCTTTATGTACTTCAAGAGACAGATTTACAACTGAAATCGTGAAGACTTCTCGGCATTCATTCACAACTAACAAAAATGTAAGAAAAGTTTTAATTTTGCCCACACTGAAATTATTTTAGCATATTATTTAAATGATTATTATTATTATTATTGTTCATACCCTGTGTAAAATGTTGAGGAGTACTTGGGTACTGAGGGGTACTTGGGTAAAATCTCTTAAGTTTCTCCATTTTCTTTTGATACGCTATGAAGATAAAACGAGACCTTCTAAAATCTAAAAGTGTTCTTTAACCTCTTACTGCTTTTATTGCGTAATTCATTAGATTTTTTTTTCGACTACTTCGTGAAAGACATACGATGTAAATGATATGATACGGTTCAAACTTTTAAAAATAATTATATATAAATTTAATAAAATTCAAAATATATATTTTATATTTTTATATTAATATAAATTATGTTATTTAATTTTTATATAAAATATAATATAAATATCTAAAATTTAATATTTTACATGAAACAAATATAAAAATTTGTCTATCTGCATGATGGATACTTTCATTTATCTATAAAATTATAGATCACGATTATTGCCTGTGAACGAGGTTTTTTAGTTAATTTTGAGAATGAAAAATGAATTGCTAAAGAGTGTAAACTAATCACCTTGTAATTTTAGGCACATTTTAGAGTTACAACGATGCAATATGAAAATAATATTAAAATAAATAAATAAAAATTGATAAAATATATATAAATTTAAAAAATAAAAAATATGTTTCTTTTTATATTTTAAGATATATATTTCATATGAAATAAATATGATAAAAATATAAAAATCATCTATCTAATTATAACTTAGATGAGTGATTTATTTTTTGAAAATGAAAGAATATTTGATAAATGTAAAGATGTATATGGATCGAGTTGGAATTTATATTTGATATTAATAAATTATATATTTATTTAAATTTGGTTTAATTTGATATTTTATGTTTCAAAATTTTTTTAAATTTAAATTAAAAAATAAAATTTAAAATTATTTATTAAATTTAATTTATATAATAAAAATTAAAATTTAATTAAAATATAAAAATAAAAATTCACACATATATATTTATATAATTATATTATTTTAATTATATATAATTTATTTGAGCTCAAGTTTTAATTTTTTTAATTTAAAATTTGATTCGAAATTTAAATGAATTTAAAAATTATATTCAAACTCATTTAATAAATTTTAAATTTGTATCTAAATATTTTTAAAATTTAAATGAATATTTGGATTTGGACGAATAATCTGTTTAGCTACATATAAATAATTGTGTCATTAATATAATCATCAAGATTTTTTTTTCAAAAATTTACTCTTAAATTTTGACCCAAAAAAAAAAAAAAACTTTTCTCATAAATAATGGGGGAAAATAACTGGTAAATGATGGAGGAATTAGAGTTTAGCACCAACGATGGAACTTCAAATAATGCATTTCCAAAGAAACCTTATCAGCTTAGCAAGTTATTTTCCCCACCCAAATTCCATACATTACATTCCAAATCATGCTTCCAATTATTGTACCTCCTATTTTAAGGTCAATTATGACATCAATGTACAACTACAAATCCTGTGTTTCATATAATTTCACTGAAATCATCATAGAATATAACAGCCTATCATAAAAAAAAAACAACTAAATAAGGGCCCCCTTCTCCCCATTGCCTTCTGTTTCTTTCTTTCTTTCTTTCTCTTCATCTATCTGATTTGCCATTAAGAAAGAAACCATCAGATTCCCAATTACCCAATTCCCATTTGAAATTTCAATTCTAATTAGCCATAGCATTTCCCCCCTTCAAAGCCATGAATTTACCTCAACCTTAAAAAGCCAAAAAAAAAAAAAAAAACCAGACTCAGAAGCTAAAAGAAAGGGGAAAAGCTTCATCTTTATTTCCTTTCTCTGCAAACCAATCAACAAATTCCCAGGAAAATCAAAACCCAGGATTCATTTTTCAACAAAAAGCATAGAAAAGATTTTTTTTTTTTTTTGTAAAACAAAGAAATTGAAGGGAAATGCCGACCGTAGCTGTAAAATTATACAGTGTATTCTTCAAGTTCCTCTCGAAGCATCGTTTGCAGAACCGGATCCAAACCCCTCTTGACGAATCCTCTAATCCATACGGTGTCACTACCCGACCCGAAGAATCCATTTCCGCCTCCAACCCTTCTTTCACTGACGGTGTCGCCACTAAAGACATCCATATCGACCCTTTCACTGCCCTTTCTATTCGGATCTTCCTCCCAGAATCGTCTCTTTCTCCTCCCGAACAACCCGACCCGAAAACCAAGCCCAAATCACCCCAACAAGATTACCCCAATTCCCTTCATCACCGGAGGAATAGTGATGCCCCGCCTAATGTCGGAGTCCCGAGAAATGATCCGAGAAGAACTAGCTTTGAAGGGTTAAATTTAAGATCCGACAATAATGTTTATCGAGGTTACTCACCATTACCTCAAAATTGTCGAAAATTACCTATAATGTTGCAGTTTCACGGCGGCGGTTGGGTGAGTGGGAGCAATGAATCGGTTGCTAACGATTTTTTTTGTCGGAGGATAGCGAAATTGTGTGATGTTATAGTTGTGGCGGTTGGTTATAGGTTGGCACCGGAGAATAAGTATCCGGCGGCGTTTGAGGATGGATTGAAGGTTTTGAATTGGTTAGGGAAGCAAGCGAATTTAGCGGAGTGTAGTAAGTCTATGGGGAGTGGGGCGCGTGGGGTTGGAGCAGAGTTTACGAAGGCTGAAGTTCAGAGACATATTGTGGCTGCGTTCGGGGCTTCGATTGTTGAGCCGTGGTTGGCAGCTCATGCAGATCCGTCAAGGTTGTTATTACCTTTTTGCTTATATAAAGTTTTGATATTGGTTGTATTTGTACTTGATATTGATTGATTTGGTTGAAAATGTAGGACTTAGTTAAGTGTAATTTGATGGTGGCATGAATGGGACGCTGTGATCATTGATTGTGTTTGTTGTTTTTGTTAGATTTTCTATGATTGATGTGTTTTTTATTGGGGATTTGATATCATTGATTGTTGTTTGATTTACGGATTGATTTGGTTTAAGATATGGGCTAGAAAGTGCAAATTGATCTGGGAACTTTGACTTTATAAGCTTAAATTCGTTTGGTGCCAGTAGATGTAATGTAGGTAATTTTGATTTTAATTGGATTTATATTTGGTAAGATGATTGGCTGTAGATGTGATATGCATTCCTTGCTTTCGTTTTTATTTGGTTGAGATGGTTGGCAACAAACAACTGCATCTTGATTAGGGAAATATGACTTGATTAGATAAAATATACGTAGAATGAATACTTTGAACAAGGTTCAGATTGTGAACCTTTTGAAAGTAATATAGTTTGGATTTTATTGTGCGCTTGTCTGAAATGTAAAACTGGGCAATAAGTCTTTGACATCTGAAGTCTGTCAAATCTGATTGCTCTTTTGGATTGTGGAGGCTTTGGAAGTTGTAGTTTTGTGTTCTAATATAGGATGAACTTTTAGAAACTATATTATTCAATCTCTGAAGCTGAAATTTTCTAGAAAGCTTCTGCGGCTTAGTCTTTTGTCTTTTGTGCGCTATGTCCTCCTCTTCAATGGACAAAGTTCAATATTTCAATTTCATTTTTGTTTTCTGTATAAAGTTTTGAGTGTTTGTAATAGCAACCACTACTCTTCCTTTGATTTCTGTTTCAGATTTGATTGCTTAAGATGTCTTTGAGATATACATTTGGTTCATGCTGGCCTTGGTTCAAGCATTTGACTACTTATTTCCTTTATTGATTGAGGTTTATGGCATGGAGGTCCCTAATTGACCTATTCAATGGTCAAAAAGTATGCATGCATCATACAGTGTCTTACATTTCACATGTTATGATCAAAGTACTTTGAGCGACTATGTGGTCGAGAGTTTGACTTAGTGCTTAATGTCTTCTTGACAATTGATTGTATTGTGACCTCTGTTGTGCCTTAAGTATGATCAACAAACTTCTGGATCATTAGTTGAGTATATAGTTGTCCTGTGGAATGGAAGGTTCCAAAGAATATTAAGTCAACCTGGAAATAACAGTTTGTGGTGAGGTAGAATCGAGGTTGAGGAAAAATCTATCTGAAGGAGCCAAGTTTGAACTCATTCCTGATGTTTGGATGGGATAAAATATTGGCAAATCACGTCTAATTGTTAATCTGCACAAAATTGCTGGTTCTTAGTACATTTCTCTAATATATAGATCCTTATCTTCTATCTTGCTTATAAATTTTATATTTCTATTATTGAAACAGATGTGTTCTACTCGGGGTGAGTTGTGGAGCAAACATTGCAGATTATGTGGCTTGCAAAGCTGTTGAGGCAGGCAGGCTTCTGGACCCTGTCAAGGTTGTAGCACAGGTCCTAATGTACCCATTCTTCCTTGGAAATGTTCCCACACAGTCTGAAATAAAGTTGGCAAACTCCTACTTCTATGACAAGGCAATGTGCATGCTTGCATGGAAACTCTTTCTTCCCGAGGAAGAGTTCAGCCTGGACCATCCAGCTGCCAATCCACTCATCCCAGGCAGGGGTCCACCACTGAAGCTCATGCCCCCAACACTGACAGTTGTAGCAGAACATGACTGGATGAGAGACCGGGCTATTGCATACTCAGAGGCACTTCGGAAGGTAAATGTCGATGCACCTGTTCTTGAGTATAAGGATGCAGTTCATGAATTTGCAACCCTTGACATGCTTCTAAAGACCCCTCAGGCTCAGGCCTGCGCCGAGGACATTGCCATCTGGGTTAAGAAATATATCTCATTTCGAGGTCATGAGTTCTCGTATTAAGTGGGAGGTTTCAAAGGTAGAAAAAGGTTTACGGCAGAGTATCATGCACCGGTGAAAAAGAGAATGATGCATGGTTGCTGTACACAGGGTTGGGATAACGTATTGCATTTGTTCTTTTGCTAATCCATCATCTGGCTTGTAACTCAGTTTCTGAGTTTATCCCACGTCCTGTTCTGTTCTTTTTGTAAGATAGAGAACTTTTCTACTAGCATATCAGTGAGCATTGGGTTGAGATGAGATTACTTCTGTTTGAGTGCTGCACACCACATTGGGATGTTGTCAGTAACATTTTTTCCCTGTGAATTAAAATGTACTATTCCTCGTTTACCGTACAGCAATGGAAACTTACCTTGCAACCATCAAACTTGTGGCATATAGATTTTCTCTTCAGCTTACATTTGTTTACCGTGAAATACTTTTGTCTGATCTGAGGAGAGAAACTGGAAAAATTATCAAAATATTTTTGAAATGTGGCTTCACAAATAGTCTTGCTCAAGGTCTAGATCATCCGTCCGAATAAAAAATTCATTTAAATTTTAAAAGGGTTTCATGAATTTATTTTTTATGAATTCTATCAAATTATTAAAAAAATTTATAAATTAAATTTTTATAAAAAAATAATTATTATTAATAAAATATTTTATTTTGATCTTATCAAATTGTATTCACTTAAAGAGTTGCAATTAATTTTTTTTTACTTAAGGAGTCACAACTAATTTTTTTTTGTTTAAATACGATTAGTCACTTAATTAAATCTCTAAAAAAATTTTTAAAATTTTATTCGTATAAAAAAATAAAACTCATTAAATGGGTTAGAACATAATTTTTTAGTCTATTTAAATTTTGAACTGAACTTATAAAAAATTCAAAACTTAAGTCCAACTCGAATTAACACATATAATTTATTTATTTATATATACACGTGAATTATATAAAAATTAATTTACATATATATAAATAAAAAATAAAAAATATATGTTTTATTAAACTTAATTTTTATTTTTATGTAATTTTTATTTCTAATATATATATATATATATATATATACGTAAATTAAATATAATCTTATTAAATTTAATTTAATCATATTTTATAAAAAAATTTATTATATAAATTAAGTTTAATGAATAAATTGAGAATTTATTTTTTTAATTTAAGTTGAGTTTGAAAAAATTTTAAAATACAAAATTTTAAGTTGAATCGAATTTAAACAAACATATAAATTATTAATACCAAACAAAAATCAAATCCGAATCCAACCCATGTACATCTCTATTCACAAATTGTATCTTGAGAAGGACATATAAGCTTTTCAATCTCCTTTTTCCTTATCAAACATAGCCTTCATGTGGAAGATGAAAGCCATTGCTATAAGCCAAACACTTAAGCATCTTCCTCGAGCTCAGGTGGATGAACCACCCCTATGACCTTGGCTAGGCATTTGTCATATATGTTTGTAAAAGCTGGTAGGATTTTTTTTTCTTTTTTTCATTAGAGGAAAGCCTAGGCATACTTCCAAGCATGTTGAAATAGCAACTACAGCTAAATGGCACAACAGAGTTGGAACACTCTCCCATTCAAGCTTTGATGGGTATGCCTTTCCTTTTTTCCATTTTTGTTCTTTATAAATAAAGCTTTCTATCTGCTTCCACCTAAATTTGATGATTCATGTATATTTATTATGTAAAATACTAAAATTTATATATTTATATTATATTTTGCACAAAATTCACATTATAAAATATAAATTTTTTTATTTTATTAAACTTAAATATAATAATTATTAAAATTTTTAATCATATCACTTTTATATTTTATATTTATATTATATTTATATCATATTACCGTATCATATTTTAAATTATTAAATTTTTCCTCCCGGTATTTTCTACTTTTTGAAAGCAACTTAATTTCTAGTACTCCAGAAATTTTCTTTACTCAACGAGTACATCTCCAGTTAATTTTGTAATGTGAATTTCGAACTTAGATCAAATGATTTACTTACTTTTCTTAAACGATAAATTTTCAAAAGTTTAAAATTTGATCCCCAAGCCGATGGTCGCAGATAAAATGTTACTCTTAATTTTAATAATCAAAGTTCAAATTCTAATAACCTCAAATAATAACATAAATATGATCCCAATGCTCGCAAATTTCCCTTCTCTGGTTCATACAAGAACTAATCCCAACACCCTGAACATATCAAGTCCCTCTTTGTTCAAATCTCCCCTTTCATTCCAATTGAAAAGCAAAACTGCATGATTAGACTGGCCTCGAAACAAAATGCTTTTAGAATCAACAATGGCACAGCCACAAAAAAGGGGCCCTGCCGTTTTAATATCACAACAAAAAGTTCCTATTTTTCGCCTTCTCCCAAAGCTCAAGTGAAAAAAAGATGGGGGTTTGGACGAACCTTTAACTCCAATTCTGACTTGCAGTCTATCTTGTGGCTGGTTTGTAAATTTTCAAATGTACTTCTCTTCTAGTGTCTGTGCCAATGCCGTCGTCTTCCAAAGCGAGGTGCTCCTGTCCATAACTGTAAGATACTCAATGCAAAGGAAATGATCCCAACAGCACCCATGGCATAGAACACTTTATACGGAGCCAGAGACAGACCAGAGAGATAGGAATAAATTCCGGCAATTAGATAGATGAAACTCAATCTTACTTCCTGACCCAAGAAGTGTGGCAAGGGCAATGAGGAATTTAACAATGACTCCGAACTAAAGATACCATGAAGAATCAAAAAAATGCAAAGGAACGAATCCAGGAACCTTGGGAAGCTCTGATGCATCCCTATTCTCTGCAACCACACAAAAGGTGATAAAAAAAATAAAATGGATGCATTTTTGAGAAAGCTCAGAGGGAAAGGCATAACAATTGGGCAATTTGATACCTGCAACCATGACACCAGAGAGGGAACAAACATTAGTGCAGCAAGAAGATGCAGCACCAGTAAGCCATGCCGATGGTGGAAAATATCTTCTTGTGTCTGACCATAACTAGAGCTGTTTTCTTTTGAAGGGGAACCAGGTTTGGATGTAAATTGCTGAGACAAATAATTGCCTTCAGTTTTGTAATCAGATTCCTTTTTTCGTGCATGGCTGCGAAATGAGGCTGTCAAAGAACTGTTACAAAAAAATAAGGAACAACGCTTAGTATCACCTTAAGCACACCAACAAAGAAATGGATGTGTTTAGTATTTACCAAGAGAATACAAAATAAAGTGCATATAACAAATAGTGGATTGCAATTGCTAAAGTCCCGGCATTCCAGAATATGTTCAAATCTACCAATGAAGTATTTAAATATTACAATAAAAAGGAACCAATATAACGGTAAGGGTAGAGTTAACAGAAACTCACTTGCACAGCGAACTATGACAACACATCGCATGAGACAAGAGCAGTACGAATAGGCCAAGTGCTGGATGTACAAATGTAGACAAAACAATTGCCGTTGATATTGGAACAAATAATGGATTGGCTCTTAGAACCCTTACCACCTGTGTCCAAAGTAAATCAAGATCAAAATAAAAAAATTCAAAGTATTGACCATGCACATAAAATGAAGACAAATGGTGATAAATCTTCAACTACTGAAAATAGTTATATCCAACAGATTTACCCTTCCATCAAGCAAAATTGAGAGAACCATGATTCAAGCCAGGTTGGAAGTGGTATTGTTTAAATGGGGACCATTCATACAGAGTTATACAAAGCAAATATGCTATTTAACCAGAGTTATACTTCTAAAATTTTGGTAGATGCAAGGTGATAATGAACCCAAATAATTTGACAGAGATCTGAAACACTAAGTAGGTACAGACAGTTGAGGCCAAGAGTTTACCTTTAATGAATAGAACCTGGAAGAGAGATTCATAAACCACTGAAGAAACAAAAAGCCGAAATTTCCTTCCCATAGTTGCCACCTGCAAACAATTGAACCTTGTATTAAAACATAAGGTAGTATATGAAAATAGCAATGAATCTTATATGATTCATATCTTGAAGAAATTACACAATTCTATCAAAATCATGAAGGAGTTACATTCCAAAAATTTATAACAGCAGTTGGAAATTAAAAAAAAAAAAAAGATATAAAGCTGTTTAATTTTCTCATGCTTTTCTTCAAATATCTAAAATATTCACTGTATATCATTCACAAAATATATCATATTAACATTCAAGTGTTGTTCCAAAAGAAAGGTAGAGAGTTCACCAACCTCCTTTTTATGAATACATGTAAATACGCAACCACATAGAAGACCAACTGGGATACCAATATCAGTAGAATTACAAACCCATTTGCCAATATGTAGCAAATTATTGACACAATGGTGAAGCTAGAGAATGGAGGAAACGATTGAGATGTTAGAAAGGAAAAGAACAAAGACAACAAAATGGGTACAACAGCAAAAGGCAAAAATGGGAATGGTATTCTTAAGTTGGACTCCACAGCTTTCAGTATAGAAGGAATTGGCCTTGCATGTGCTTGTCGCATCAGAGCAAAAAATATAACAGCCACAGAGAAGCCAACTATCTGTATGAGAAAGTCCAATATCATGTCAGTATCATAGAGTGCAAAATAGTAAGTATATAACTTAAAAAAGCAGCAAATGGTTCTTTAGAATCTGAATAACACTTTTTTTCTCTTTCTCTTCACTAAAAGTCCTAAGACATACCCATAACATACATGATTTTCAGAATATGCACAAACTGGGAGTGTGTCCATCAATTTGCTTCAGCACATGTAACTTAAATATTGGAATTTCCTTTAGTTTATGAGTTTGGAAAAATATAATAGGAACATTTACACAATGAGGGTGCATATGCCTGAAAATCTACAACCAATGGCTGTTATTCAACATGCTACCAATAGTTTCATCATCAGACTCATTTCATACAGAACTCTCTTGGACATCTGATTCTTTTGAGGACCCTCATCATGAACTGCTTCTAGTCACAACTCCCACATTTTTACATTATAGTTTCCTTTGTTGCTTACAAGTGGTTACTGTCATAAGTATCTAGAGCACAAGCTCTGCCTTCACAATTGTTACAGGTTGCAGAATGCAGCACATAATTTCAATGCCAATGAGTGCACTCTGATTTATTATATGTAAATTACAAGATAATGTCATTTGAAAATACCAATATGTTGATATTGCATTATATCTTGACCCTAGTGAACTCAACTAAAGGTCATAGCATTCCAAAGCAACATTGACCTGATAATATCTAATCATTTTTGGAACTCATAGAAGCTAATCTAAATTTAGATGAAACTGAGAAAGAAAAATAATAAGCATGAAGATTAGATCGGATCACCTGTGAACAATATAGAAGCAAAAATCTGCTAGCAGCTGTAGTTCCAGAAACAGCTATGCTTGCCTTATATGAGCAATGTGGGTCAAACTGCAGGGTATCAGGAAGAAAAAGAGATTTTAATTTTAAGAACAGAACAACTGAATTTTGAAATGAAAGTAACATTAGTAGGCAAGAAAAGATGTGGCTCATTACCAGTAAAAGAACAATGGTTTTCTCTGTCCCAGTAGAAGTACAAAGTGCAGGGGAGGAATCAACGACAAGAGTCTCACTATACAAATTAGGAAATATATGGAGACCTGATGTAGGATCCCAAGCAAGTGCTACAGGTGGGAAACAGCGCAGTTTGCAAAGCTCTGGATGGGCCAGCAGAAAAAAGAAAGGAAAACTAATGAATACAGAATTATGAATGGAAAAAAATCACAAATATGAAAATTAATTAAAAGCCAACAAGAAAAACTAGACAGCCAGAGTATATCCAGCAATCATGAACCATAGAAAAAATGTGATGGCTTAAATGGTATGCCAAGGCTTAATTGCTAGCATAACATTCAGATGACCAAACAAACTTCTAGAACTTCAGGATTGCAATGAAAACATAAAGATATTAAGATTCTTACTAGTTTTTTCAGAATCTCCAGCTTCATCAAGAAGCCCAGAATCTTTTATTCCACAGCCTGCGGTTTTCAAAGAGAAAGTAACAGGCAAAAGGCCTAAACTAATTGCAAATGACAGATTGAAAGCAAGGGGGTGGTCTTCCTTCAAAAAGATATCCTGCACATCATTGAAATCATTCACCGAACAATTTTTAGTTGTCTTTGTGGGTGAAACAACATTAAACGGGTGTTCAATTTTCCATATCCTAGGAAGTTATACGGCTGCACTTCAGATAGTCACCTTATGGGAATGTGTCGATAAAAGCATTGATACAGGAGAGAATTCTATCTCCCCTTCATCCGGATTAAAGAACTGCCCAACTGCCATGGAAGTAGCTGGTGGAGGCCTGCCTGAAATAGTCTGAGCACCACAAAGTCACTGCACACAATTACTCAAATTATTTTGAACTATATGTTAAATAAGAGAGCAGCACTACCATTAAAAAAAATCCAGAGTGGCAAAAAGAAAATACGAAGAAGCCTAAACATTTTGGCATGCACATTTCTCATGTATTGTAACAATCACTATTGTGAAACCTAGGAACCTACATATTTCAATGGCCAAAGATATATGTGCATGAGGTAGGGATAAAGAGTTCTAGAAGCAATGATGGAACATGCATATTAAGGTTTGATCTTTTGAATAGGCTCAAGTTTGATAGGCTCCACCATAGGTTGAAAATTAGAAAAGACAAAGAAAATAGTAATGACTAAAATGTGTTACCACACATCCATCCTTTTAGATGTTGCAATTTAGCTTTCTACTCCTTTACCCTTAAGGGAAACATTTCAAATATAGATAGTTAATGCACAAAGCTATCGATAATGGATCAAAAATAAAAAGCATCTGATAGGTTCATGATAAATGCTTATAAAGGTGAATCCTTAAGACGAATAAGCATAAAAGAGGCCAACAAATTTCCAGAAACAATCCTAGTCTGTATATAGCTGATGAAGTTGTAAAAGGAAAAAGAAATGAAGAACTAGGCAACAATACCGGACGAGGTGCAACTGAGATAGTCAGGAATCTGAAGCCATGCATTTCCTCAGGACCCAAATGAAGTACAGCAGATGGAGGTGCTTGCTCAGTCTGACTGCCAGGCTCAATCTGGTAGAAGTGTATATAAAAACAGGAGTGTCAAATTACTGATGAAATCAGAAGACCCAATAAGTTGTTGCTCCAATGCCAACAAAATTACTAACAAAATCTGCTATTAAAAAGACCTTGAACCTTCCTAGGACTATTTGAGTTTTACATATCAAAGATGCAAGAAACGAGGTGCTAACTCACAACAGGTTCATAGAACAAACACTAGCAAGTGCATGAGTAATAATATTTCACCAAAAGAACAACTTAGTACCTGCTGTGGTGCTGGTCCTGCAGGAATTTGCACCATCTTTGATGTCACTTCCAGAACCCTTTTACCAGCAGGCATGTCTGAAGAGGATCTTCCTTTTTGGGGCCATAGATGAACTCGGACTCCAGAGCAAGGAGCAAGGTTTGTCACAAATATGAAGTGGCTTTTTCCATTTGACCCCTAAAGATAGAAGTAAACACTAAGAGAATTTTGCACTGTCTATAAAGACATAAAATAGAGGAAAAGGGGCAAACGGGTTTTTTTTTTTTTTTTGGGGGGGGGGGGGGGGGGGGGGAGGAGAGGGGAGGGCATAGTGGTAGGGTGTCAAAGGATTACTAAACTGATGCTAAACAAGAAATAGAAGAGAAACTTTAGCTGTAGCTTAGAAATAATTTCTGCCTCCAGGAGATGTAAATCCAATGCAATAAAAGTGTAGACATTGTCCACACAATTCCATTGAGAAAAAATCTAAACATTTACGGATGTGATATAGAGCTCACCAGTTTCTGTATATCCAACCACCGCCTTCTCCCATCCATGGCCAAAACGGTGACAGTTGTTGTCTTAATATACAAATCCCTCTCAAGGACATCATCACTCCAATGAACACTGCTAGGACAGACAGATGAGGTATGCACTTGTGAAACTGCAAGCATGACATAACATGTCATAAATTACAATCTTTCTGGAATTATATTTTGACTATTAACCATGTATTAGTAATTTCTTTTAGAGGGCGAGGATAATTATCATGCAGATATATTTCTAGAAAAGAATTCCTAAGTTTTCATAAAACAAAAAACTGAAATTTTAATGTCCTAATAGACAGATAATACCATCAGTGTCTTTTACATCCTTAATAGGAATCCGAGTCGACCAGGATGACTGAGATTGCATCTTCCAATTGAAACTTTGCGGTATTCCACTACAAAGCATCTTTGTGAATATGGCAAGTCTTTTTTGAGTGTCAGGAAAAGGCTGACCTGATCTGGAGTCTACCAAACTAAGGAGAGTATGCGACACCTACACGAAACATTTACATTCAAAACTGTCGAGAACGAAAATTGAGCTCTGAAAGGCTGAAGCATTGCCTCAGTGGTAGTCACATATCACCACAAAAATGGAGGTTACTAGTTCAAACCCCTCTCCCAACCTAACTATCCAAAAGGGGAGAGAGAGATTCCACTTACTTGCACAACTATTTGATTACACCACAAAATAGCTTGATGTTCCATCGACAGCCACACATTTTTCATGCTTGTACTGCTTATCATAAATCCATGACTGGAAGGCACAATGCCATCAAGGGATTCTAATTTTGTGCGTACCTGTAGTCAGAAAGGGGAACAGGATACATATTTAGGCAAAATTCAACATTTCAAACAAGATATATTTATAATAAAGTCATAAAGCACCCCTTTTATAGGCCAAAAAAAAAAAAAATAAAGCACCTTTTTTCTTTTTATACAAGCACACAATCTAATCCAAACTATGCAGCAGAACAAAAGCTGAAGAAATACCTGATAATCATTATAACCACCAGAAATGGAAACAACAACTACATGAGATAGTTTTGAGTCAGACACATAATGCCCTGTCCGAGTGGTTTGAACCTCATACCCCTTTCTCCATTCTTGATTTATACTTTCATAATAGTGACCAAGGGATGGTTGCAACGCCACAGGAGGTGATCTGGATGGAAATAGCAGATTCTTAAAGGATAAAGCAAGAAATTTTAAACAAAAAGATAGACAAGAATCCACAAAGAGCTCACTGGTGGGGGCTTGAAAGAGTTAGAATAGTCTCAACAGCTGATTTCCTCAGACGGGGGTGGATCGTTGCAGCTCTAGCAACAAAACCACCCATAGAGTGTCCAACCAATATGACACTTTTTGGCAAACTACCAGTTGTTGCAGCACCTTCGCTTTCCCGGGCATGACGGGATTCTTTGTATTGATCCAAAATCTGCAAGAATAGGCTTAGTATTGATGATAAAATGAACCAAAATAATTTGTTTTTTAATGGCCTCATACAACAGTGTCAAACAAACATACATGGCAATCTTAGATATGATAAAATGTATTGCTTCATCATTTGACTCCCTAAGCCAAACTGAGGTAGATTCAATGGAACATAATAAAAAGAATTTGGAGATCAGACCTTTGTGTTAAACCTTGCTCTCAATATATAACATTTTTCTTTGATCTCATTCCATTTTTTAAAAAAAAATTGGGCACACTTACACCTTTCACTTCTGCAATAAAGATTCGATTTATCTCGTTAACGAATTTATCCCTTTGAAATAGTGAAAACAGATTAAGTGACATCTGTGACCTCAGATAGCCACATACAAAACATTCAAGGTTCTATGCCAAACAGTCAGAATTAAAACTATCACTGAGTTCACGCACTCTGTCAAATAAAATAGTTCAAATGATAAGAGTGATACCCTATGAATAGCATATACTACATATTCAGTGTGCTCTTCAAGTATCCGACCATCCATTGCTGAATGTTCGCCCTCAAGATCCACAGCAAACCAATCTATCCTGTTAGCATATTGATTGGGTAATTTAAAGTCAGCCACAACCACATTATCTCCCTCCTCAGAAGCTGGATGAGCTTCTCTATAGAATGAACGTTCAAGTGGACCTCCTCGATAAGCTCGATCAGATTCACCTGCCAAGGACCGCACCTGAAAGAATGACAAAAGCTTGAGAACTGTACACCATTTTGAAGCCATTCGCAAACCACATAGCATACTTAAGTGATTTTTCCTATCTACAACAACAAAGCATACCAATACTAACTACAATGCCAAGAGGAGAACCTTGCCTGTTTGTAGCTACCACCATTGCCCGGAATAAAAAGAACGGGAATTCCATTGAGCTTCTTTAAGTGTTCCTTAAAGTCAATCTTTTTCCAACCTTCATGGTACAAATACAACCCGTACTTCGCAGACAACATGCCTCCCGAGGTGGAAATTGGGATATAAGTGGGATACATATACGTCATAATACAACCATTTGATAGAGGCTTCAATAAACCATACAAAGCAGCTACACCAACCCATAGCACCGCAACCACAAGCATCATTGCTCTCAAACTAGGCCTAAATCCTCGCATTCTTGAATCCCCATTTTTATTACTATTCCTTCTTTCATTTTCCATGTTATTCAACATTCACTACACACAAAAAAATAAATAAATATTCAAAAAATTCAAACTATAAACAGTTAAAATTTTGATTTAGCTTAATCATCGGCAGATCTACTTCACAAAATTAAGCTAAAACCTAAATTAAGCTGACTCAATTAACTTAATTAGAGCTAATTTAAAGAAGAAAATAAGAGAAATAAAAAAAACTAAACAAAAAATAGTTTGAGAAGCTGAAGCTGAAAGCTAGAAGAGGCTTTCAGAAAATTTGATCTGATTTGAAGTGGAAGGTTCAGGAAAGCTCGGAGAAGTAGAATGTGAAAAGGAAACCTGATCGGGGATGAAATCAAGCGACGTAGTTCCAAGTGTGAGAAGAGAAGATCGAAGTTGAAGAGAGGCCAAGAGAGAGAGAGAGAGAGAACATGAGCGCGATTGCTTCCTGTTGAAAGGAGACGAAAATGGAAAGATATTTGAGGGATGTGTCTGTTTTTGAGACTTTCCGATTTTGCTGGGTTGGTTTTTGGAGCCCAGTTAAGTGCTGGTGGATCAGGTTGTTTTAGGTTAGACCAGAATGAAGTGGGCCGAATCTTGAAGATAGAACAGAATTTGTCAGGAAATGTGAGATAAGTGGGCCACGGTTAAATGCCGGTGAATCACAGAATCTGTGTAAAATAGGCTATTGTACTTATTATTACTTTGATCAATTAATTTAAAATATAATATGATAATATAATATAAATATAATATAAAAATAAAATATAAAAATGATATAATTTAAAATATTAACAATAATTATATATGAATTTAACAAAATTAAATAAATATATTTCATATTTTTTTAACAGACATAAATTGTTATATATAATTTTCGTAGAATATATTATATAAATATATAAATTTCAATATTTTACATAATATTAATATATGAATTTCAATATTACTGTTATGAAAAAAAATTTTAATTTATAAATAGGATTAAATATTATTATATATCTTATTATTTATAATATTGATTTATTACTTTTTAAAATATATTCATGTGATAAATTTTTTAATCTCACTAATATTTTTTTTTCATATAAATGCACATTAACACACAAATTTTAACTTACTAGTTAATCATCACTGTTGATAGGGAAAGAGAAAGGAAAAGGATCCCGCATGTTAAAGAGCCAAAAATTAGATTGTGACCCGTAAGTAAGAATCGATCCGTTGAAGTACTTTTTCTCACAGTACAAAATCATGAGTTCACGAATAATACCTCGTTGCAGCCGCAATCTAACAACATCACCATCCACATTTACTAAAGAAACGTTGTTGTTATTGAGTTATCTAAACCTTGTTAGCCTTGTTTTTTTGTCAGTTCAGTGTCTTGTAATAGCATTTTCATTGATTATTGGTGTGACCGGAGAATGTCCCAAGTAGATGATATCTAGTTGTAATGTTTTTTATTTGTGAAAACCATAATAGCATAATTAGTATTCTGGGTTTCTACTTCAAGAGTTTTGGTTGAATCAAGTAATTATTGTGGATCATGTAATTGTGATCAAGATTGATTAAGGGTTATTAATTATTGTGGATCATGTAATTGTGAGGCAGACTAGTTTCAGGTTGAAGAAGCTCCTGTAGGCAAAGCTTGAAGAAGATCCAATTAAAAAATAGTTAGTATGATGAAACTGTTTGTGGAAGACAATCATTCTCAGCTGAGAAAAACTTGATTGCAATATGATGAAATCGTGTTCATTGCATTGGAAGTAACAAGTAACAACGTCAACAATGAAGAAGCTTTGATGGCTCTAGATGCCATGGCTCTCAAATTTGCTCTAGCTAAAGAAAGAGAGGTTCTGGTTTGCTGATGAGTACCCCTAAAAGACTCCATGAATTCTTCTCTTTGCAACCTTAAAGCTAATGCAGCATCTTCATCTTGGCCCGGTGTCCCTCTTCTTCTCCTCATGCTTGTATCTGTGCTTACCAACAGCGAAAGATCCTCTCTCTGCAGCCTTAAAGCCAATGCTGCATCCTCATCTTGGCTCATCATCCCTCTTCTCCTCACTCTTGCATGTCTGGTAGGGGTCATTTGCGGTCGAATACTTCTGCTACTACTACTTCCACTCTCTGGAGTTTGATGTTCAACTTCGCGGCTGTTTAAGGCTCTGGCAGCCTTCCTTGATTCAATCTCTTTCGGAAACAGAAGCTGTATTGTATTCCACAGAACTGTGTTCACAGTGTAAGATCTTCCATTGCTGCATGTTCAAACAGGCAGTATATAAGGGCAGAAGTTAATTACAATGAAGGCTGGGCCTGGGGCTGCTTTTACCTTATCAGCTGGCGGCACTTTGGGCATGTCTTTCCACATTTATCTGCAGCTGATCTCAAACATTTCCTACAGAAACTACAAATCAAACAGGAAAAAACAAAGGGTTTCAACTAAAGTGACAATCAATTAAAAAACTACTCAAGATAACAGATTTGGGTTTTGTACCTGTGTCCACAAGGAGTGGTACTTGGTTCAAAGCAGATATCCAAACAGATCTGCCAAGCAAATAATATCAAATTATTAGAAGAGCTTCAATCAATCCAAGCCAACACCAGAGACAAAATCTAGACGATTCTTACTGCACAGGAAAGCGCTTCTCTAAGTTTATCCATATAATGAGAAGCTGGACTGGAGCAAGAAACACCAGGGGGCTGTTCTGTTGCTTCATTCACTTGTGTTTTCTTCTCCTCATTCACATCAATTAATCTTTGTTCCACTGACTCTCTGTCACTCTCTAGGCAACAGCAGTATTCAATAAAAATTAATTTTCTTTCCTCTTTTTACTTTCTCAACAAAGAAAAGGATTCGAAGAAGCAAACATAGAATTAATCACCTTGTTTTGAAGTCTCTTCTTCCTCAAGATTTAATGGAGCAATAGGGATTGAAACAGGAGTTCTCTGAGCTCTACGTTTCCTGGAAAACAAAACCATGAAGAAATAAATCAATCAAAAATCAAATAAAAAGAAACAAATATTAATTACTACCTTCTTGAAGTGGTGGAAGTTGGAGTCTTGAAAATCAAATCAGAGCGTTTCTTGTGTTTGGATTCTCGATCAGGGGTGTCTTCGACGACAAGAGTGGCAATGATAAGGGCGTCCTCGTCCCAACCAGCCATGGCCGCCACGGATTTGAATCTGGGACTAAACAAGGTATCAACATGTTGGCCACTTTCACTTGGGTTTGCTTGCTTTGAAACTTGTGGCGTTTGTTTTGGTTCTACTTCTCTCACCATTTTCATGGATTTTCAGAAGGAAAAGAAACAAAACAACGCTTCCATTTCCCAGATAGAAAGGCTTATAGGGGAAACAACAGGTGATGATATTTCCTAACGGTCAAATTTTTTAAATTTGCCTCTTTTGCAACGGCTATGATACTGAGCCTTAACGTAAGTATCAATGGACTCGAGGGCCGCTATTTTTTCTCAACGTGCGACCCATATTCTTTGCATTTGCCACGATATCTCATAGTTAAGGTTGCCACGTTTGTGTCATTGAAAAGCCTCTGAGAGAAAATAAAAAAAAAATTTTTAAACAAAAGAAAGGATTTCTTTTTACAGGAAACTTTACAAAGTTTATAAAATAAAATAAAAAAAAAACAATTTCTTTTATTACGGCAAAGAAAGAGGGATATTGTTGAATTCAGAATTTAATTTAATTATTTATATAATCATTTTAAAATGTGATATTATGTTTGGATTTAAATTTTAATATTTGATTATTTTTTTAATTTATTTGAGATTATATTTTACTTGGCTTTTAAATTATTGTACTTTTTCTAATGTGATAACTAAAAAAAATTAATTAGGTATCTAAATTATATTTTCATGTATTAAGTTAGTCAAATTTTTAACACCATTAAAATAATATTAATGTGATATTTAAATATTAATTGAATGACACGTAATTATCACGTGATTTAAATGTAATTATCACGTGTCATTTTTAAAATTTAATTATTTTTTATTCTTTAAAAATAACACGTAATAATCACATCATTATCACATAACAGCCACATTATTCACATCAGCATTTAAGTATCATATTAACATTATTTTAATAATACTAAAGGGTTGAAACAACTTAATACACAGAATTAAGGTTTAGATATTTTATTATAATTTTTTTAATTTAAATATTACATTAAAATAATTACAATAATTAAAAATCAAGTGAAATATTATCCCATTTATTTTTAAAAAGCAACCTCCATTTAAAAAAAAAAAGTTGTTAATAGAAGGGAGAAAAAATGACCCAAATGAAATTAAAAATGGACAAAGTTTATATTATCCTAGTTGTTATGATCATATGAAGATATAAAGAATTGAGTTTCTTATTAGAAAAAAAGTTAGAATCACTTACAAGTGGGAATAAGGTATTGATAAACCAAAGTTGGTAGGAATTTTTTTATTTTTTATTTTTTTTGTGAATTAATGACTAGTGGAGGCTGGTGATGGAAGAATCCAAAAGAGTTGGAAGGAAAATGCTAGAAAAATTGGCTATTTATAAAGAATATAATTAAGATAATGCTAATTAAATTAAAAGAAATTAATGGATTCAATAAGTGCTAAGACTAAGCACCATATATATACTCAGTAAAATCTTATCTTAAAAACTTTTTGTTTTGAAAGAAAAGATGTAGTTGACCAATTAGTCATACCATAAGAATTATCAATAATAAAAAAATAAATTTTATCTTAATTGGTTCGTATAAGTTTGAAATTTAAATTTCAAAGATACAATCTCTTTTTATATTTTAAGGCTTTAATCTCATCTGTGTAAAAAATAATAATAATAATAATAATAAAAGAAAAAAGAAAACAATTGAGCTTGAAGCATAAGGACTTTTGTTAAAAAATAAATAAAAATATAAGGTTTGAACAAGCTTGTTATATTAATAAGCAAGTACACATCTGTTAAAGTTAATAATATTAAAAAAACAACAATATTATACAATATTAGATGGAAAGTTATAAATGTAAAATGAGAAAGACAATGGTTAAATATAAGTTTGGTGATAGAATTTGAAATTTATCTAAGTTGGTTTATCAATTATTTTTAAAAATTAAAATTTTATTGATTTAAAATTTAAATTTCAATATTTACAATATTATTCTTTATTTTCGAATTGTGATTTCTTTTATATAAAAATAAAAATAATTGTATGATTATGTATTGAGAACATGACATCGAGAAAAATTAAAATAGGGCAAGATTAAAAATTAATTAGCATTTTTTTTATTTATATAAAAATTTTACTTTCAAGATTACATATACAAATGGCATAATGTCAATTGGAAAGATAGTATTTTAGTAACTTCCTACTTATTTTCAACCCCTCCTAGTCAACTTAAAGCTATTTATATATTTTTTGACTTTTTCATTCCATTTTAAAATCTTATCTATGTGATGAATTTATTTTATTTTTCCCTTTCTTTTTCCAAGTTTTCTATCTTAATAATTTGGTACCAAGAAAAACTTAATCACTGTTGACTTTCATTTGCAAGATGTAATCTCACTTTCTTGTTTCTGATTAGGTTGTTCTTGTTCATATATAATCATGACATCACTGCCTTTGTTTTAGAACAAAGGGGCAATTAAAAGTGATGTGACACCATGTTTGCAGCCATGAAAATGGATGTAAAGTAATTGTGGAAGGCTGCTGATATAGAGAAACCGAGGCAGTTTTCTCAAGCTTTCATCAGAACGTTCCTTTTTCTTGAATACCAATGAGTGACTTTGTACTATGTTGAATATATTTATAAGTTATATGATACAATTCAGTTTGCAGCAAATAAGCATGGCAGCAAAGTTGGGAAGACAGCACAGGGATTAGTCCATTGGATAAGAGGATGATTCTTTTTTTTATTAATCCAGAGTTAGGAGATATAAAGCTTAGTTTGTTATTATTGTTGTTGTAGGATTCAATTTTTATGTGAAGCATTTAGAAAATAAAATTCTGATGCATCAAACTTACCTTTTTGGTTCAACAAGTTCAGACAAGGAGTAAAGGTTCTGCCATTTTGACTCTGTCAGAGGTTTGAATCAAGATACCTGTCATTTCTCTTCCAATAGAATGTAGAAGGCATGATTCTCGTGCCAAACAAGTGATTATTTTCCTGGAAAAAGATGGGAAAATGACAATTATAATTTGATTTTATAATCCTATATTCTCCTCTCAAGTTCAATCCCACACATCACAGATCTTTCTTCAGCAAATATATATGGTTTAATAGAGTACTGGACTCCAATATGATGTAAGGTCATGGTGTTTCAATATTTTCATCAGCTTTTCCTGTCCTGTGTCCATGGTTAGGTGCCATTGACTATATTTTAAGCAGTTGTCATTTGGTAGGATTTTTCTAGCAGGATGCTTAGATGCTGCTGTTTAAGTGGATGGCAACTTTGTCACCAGCTAATCATCTTTGCTATTGACTTATTTCACCAAAGATTAAGTCATAGATTACAACTGCTCCTATAATTTCAATAAGGAAAATAATAAAATTTTCAGTAAAAAAAAAAGGATTATTGTAGAAATTGAAGTAATGTGGAAGGTGTCAATGTTCAAGGGTTTGTTCAGTTAGTTAAAAAAGTTTTGTTTTTAGGGTTTGATTCTTACACAAGCAATTTGAAGGTAAAACCCTAAATATACTACATCAATGGTAGAGAATGCACTTAAGATCACCTTGGAAATTATAAAAAAAAAAAAAAAATTAGATTAAGTGAGCGTTTGGATGCAACTATACTTCCAGTGAGATGTAGTTAAACTCCAATTACTATCAATTAAATTCAAATGCTAATCACTATTAATTAAATTCAAATGTCAATTTCAATAAAATTCATTGAGTATAAATTTCTTATTAATTTTTTTTCAATTATAATTATAGTAATTTTTTTTAATCGTAATTATAATAATTATTATTATTATTTTTAATTTCACCATTTATCTAAATAGACCCTAAGCAAACGGGGAGGATTAATCCTGCTACATATATAGCATAGCCTTTGACGATGCAATCAATCAAATGGTAAAGATCTGTTACTCAAGTTGACCCATTGAAAACAATATTTCAAGAGTTGATTCATGTTTTGAGTGACAAAGGTGTGAACTAAGGGGGGTTCAAACAATCTGGAAGTCTATTCACATTGGGAGAACTGGACAAACCTGATAATTATAGCTGCAAAATCAACTAGAATTAAAAGTAAAGAAAATAAAAATGTATGTAACAGAAGCTTTGTCAGGATATTCTAGCTTATTAATTGTATCCTCAAACCCCAACAAAGCCAGCATTGACCCCAACATAAAACAATAGATTTTGTATACGAATTATTGTGCATTATAGGGAATATTCATCACTTTGTACATGCATGAACCAGAACATATGATTACCTTCATTTTGTTTTTTTTTTCCTTCTCAATTTTCCTTCTGTGTTAAGGGAATGTGTTGAAGGAGTCCCACTGAAACAAAAATGATTCATTTTCCTTTATTACATAGAAAAGTAATTGAATTCAGTTTCTTCAGGCTTGCTCCTTGTTCTTTTTGCCATTTTTTCACAAGCCATGACTGCACTCGATAAGTTCTAACGAACATTGTGACCCTCCTGTCTCAATATTTTCGTATATACATCATGTTGTATTCGTATTACATATCCGTGTCCGGTGTTTCATAGCTCTAAAGTATCCAAATTTTAATTAGTTAGAGGTTATTTAACCCCAAAAAGAAAATCTGTACATGATTGCTACATAAGAACTACTGAATTGACGTTTTATTAAAAACAATTAAGCATGAGAGACACGAGTGGGTTTATTTTCTTTTTTAATTTTTTTCTGTCCTTGAGTGTTTGAACATTTACTGCTAAGTTAACCATATCTGTTACCAACTAATTACATTGACTTGTTGGCCAAAAAAAAAAGGTACAAAACTCAAGTGCATCCATGGTTGGAATTTCAGGGCACTCTCATATCTGGTGAAGGAATCTCTTCAACTCTCCCCCACACAGGAGAAAGTTACCTCCAACGACAAAACTGGCCAGCTTATTTCTTTGGATTAATATAAATCAAAACCAATGAGAAGGAAAGACTTTAGTTGCAGGAATAAAATTTGTCAACGAGGACGACCCACGTTTGGTTCTTATATTAAGGACCATTTCTGTTGTCTCAATAGGGGTGGTGGCCATTTTATTATTACAAATCCTTCATGCTTTAAACCTTCAATCATGAATCTCCCTTCCTGAACAACATCCTGCCTTGCTTTTCTTTTTTAATGTCTGAATGAGCTGGCATAGCATCTTTATCCTGGACTGCAAGTTCCTTTTAAGCACCCTTTGGATTTCTAGTCTTGAAGTTGAACTTTCAAGGGGTCACTGAGTTTTTGATTGTCTAAGTTTTCGAAATGGGACGACAACCTTGTTGCGATAAGCTTGGATTAAAGCGCGGGCCATGGACAATTGAGGAAGATCATAAGCTGATGAACTTTATTCTCAACAATGGTATTCATTGCTGGCGAACGGTTCCCAAGCTTGCAGGTAATTATTCTACCCAGGCACATGATCTTGTGATTAAGTTGGGATGGTATGCCTAAAAATGGTAGCATTTTGTATGGTTGATGTATGCAGGTCTGTTGAGATGTGGGAAAAGTTGCAGATTAAGATGGATAAACTATCTGAGACCAGACCTTAAAAGAGGGGGTTTTACAGAATCAGAAGAAGATCAGATTATTCAACTTCATTCGCGTCTTGGAAACAGGTAAACATCACCATCTTCCTTGCAATATTCGTGGCAATGCCTGAGGATGATCAGTTTTTATTGCCAGTTAATGCTTCCTAGTAACACGATAAAATTTTGTTGTAGGTGGTCCAAGATTGCTTCACATTTTCCTGGTCGTACAGATAATGAAATCAAGAATCATTGGAACACTCGAATCAAGAAGAAGTTAAAGCTCCTTGGTCTGGACCCTGTGACACACAAGCCTATTGAGAAGGCAGAGAAAACTGATGGTAAAAATAAGATGACCTCAGACTCTAATTCATCTGATAAGCAAGAAGCAAGCATAGAGTCAAAGTCAGAGGATGATTATGGGATGACAGTTTCTCCAAGAAGAGATGAGAAACTAGAAGAGATTCTAGTAACTTTGGATGAAACAAATGATCTATTGAACAACTACCATATGTTGTGTGGAAGCTTTGATTTGGATTCATGGTTGAACCATGATATAAATACTTCTTCCTCTTACACATCTTCGTTCTCCTTGGAAGAATCCAACAATCCTTCAATGGGTGAAACCAACTCTATCCAAGAAGACTCTTTAAAGCAATGGGTTGTTAGTGTGGATTCATTTCTCTCATGGGATGGCTTTAGTCATCTGGAAGAAAATTCTTTTCTCCTTGGAAAATAGGCATTTGAACATAACTTTTTCCATGCCCAAGTTTCTTTACAATCCTATCATTTAGCAGTAAAAAAGTTCAGAAAAAGTGATTCAGATTGATGATATCTGCTACCAAAACTTCAACTCTTTTAAATCATCTGGAAATTGATCATTGTGTGTCTTGTTTATTCTTTGTAGCCGGTGTCAATCTTCTAGCATTTGACCAGAGAGCCATTAAAGCTTGATCCACTGCCCTGCCATTGATTAGTCTATTTTTTATCTGTCTACTTTTGTAACTGTAAACTTCTTTGTACCGTCACACATCATTATCAAAGCGTCCAAGCCTTACTTTCATCTGTTGCCTTTTAAAACAACATATGGTCTTTTACTTAACTTGATTTTACAGGAAAAAGCAGGGAAATGGAAGAAAAAAGAAAGAGAAAAAGCCGGTATTGGTAGGGAATCAGATAGATGCCCCTCGATGTCTGCCAAGATTATGTCTCTTAATTATAAGCTTTCTGCAATATAATACATTAGCACTCTCATTTCTTTATTTTTAACTTTTTTGGCCTTTATCTGTAATGTCATTGAAGAAACTGCTTAGTGCTTAGCACTGAAACTGAAGTGGATCAGCTAAGAGTTGTTTATTTATGTGCATGCATCTGTAGGTTATTGCAGGGAAAGGAATCTTAATATGAAACTCAAAAATCTAACCCTGGAAAAGAGTCGGCATTTCTGGAATTGTGAATGTATCGGCTCTAAAAGCCTATCAATGGTCTGACTGACAAGAGACAGTGCCCCAATGAAAAACATGATCTAAGTTGTTAAACACTTTCTATGACAGTATCCAACCTTTCTAAGACATATCATTCTTCACAAATATAGGTGTTCAGAACTTGGCTAGTAACTTGTAGCTTAAGTAATTCTTTTGGTACAAAGGACCATAGTTTGAGATAAACGAATTTCATGCATTGGGATTTGAATTCCAAACTTGCTGTATACTACCTCTCAAGAATGATTTCATGAACCAACTGATCTAAACTCGAGTTTGTAGCTTAAATAAATTCAACTTCTTGAAAAAGATCAGTCTAATAATTGACAGTTAGGAAAACCAACCTCAGCAGCAGAATAGAGTGAAAAAAAGGAAAGAAAAAGACAGAAAAATACTAAAAGTTCATAAACCAAGTTTCAATACATTATTATCTGTTGATTACCAGGTGTGAATTGACACCAAAACTAATTACAATGACATATTTGACTAAATTAACAAAGGGATGGTTAGACCTCTAAACCTATCAGAAAACAAGCTTCTCAGAAAACAATTTGACCTTGCTGATCAAGGTATCAAACAGATCTGTTGAAGTATAAATTGAAGAATTATTGATATAAATAGCTCCAACTCTCTTCAAGTTGGGTATTGCTTTAATAAGTTATTAATTATTTATCTGCTTTAACATGAAAATTTTGAGATTTTATGTCATTAAAAAAATTCTTGTAATATTTCGATATGGGATTAAAGTGTCATATAAAACATTTGATGATTTCTTTTAAGCTTAAAGAAAAACTAAATAAAGTCATGTCATTAACTTTTCTTAATTAAGATTAGTGTCTCAAAAATCCCTTGGAAGGCAAAAGTACTGAAAAAAAGCAGTGTTAAAAAAACATGTTTTACAATTTTTTTTCTGGTCAAATATGATAGGTCAAATATGATAGGCCTATTATGTTGAAGCCCCTAAACAACTAACAAGATCAGATTAATCCCAAACAAAAAAATCAAACACCAGTTTGGTACTAACCAGTGTAGGTGTCACGGGCTCTGACCGTTAAGCCAAAATCCATGCGGCCTTAAATTGAGATTGGACTCCTTAAGCCTAAGTCAACCTATGAACCAAGCGTGCAGGCATTAAATCAACTGGAAAGGCAGAATACGCAAGCTAAGAAAACAAGAGAATGCTGAAATGCTCTGTATATTACTGAAGGGTGAATGATGATACAACTGAGGGTGGGGTGACCCTTTATTTATAATGAGGCTCCAACACTGTTATGGCTACTTCCTAAAATTAATGGATTACATGATTTCTAAAAATAAGGGATTACACATTAATACATAGATTACACCATGATTCTAAGGATCTCCTTCTGATTCTAAGGGTTAACCAAATCTCCTACTATGTGCTGTCGATCCTGAATGCTTTTAGATTATTCTGGATCAGTCTTACTCTCTCGAGTCCACCTAGGTGTGGTACAAACATGTTGCAGGTTTGGCCTTGGTCTTGCGAGCATGCTTGACTACTGTGCAGGTGGTCTGGATGCCTCTAACATGCTTATTCCGCAAACCTCTTACCTCTATCCCTGGTGCTCAAGCCTGGGCCACTGATGCGCAGGCCTCAGCTCCTGGTTCATCCCGTCCAGGGCGTGACATTCTTCCTCACCTGATTGCGCGACACCTTCGTCATGTCCTCTATATAGAACTGTCTGATCTGGTCTTAAAACTATCATAAGTCTTCTGTTAGTTCCCAATTAGCTTCACTGTCTAGAAGTTTCTTCCATCGCACCAAGTGCTTCTGTCTTGGTTGATAATTCTATCGCCTCACTACCTGATCAGCAAGAATGCTTTGGACTTTCTTATTATATAAGGCCTTGGCTTCAAATGGTGCACGCCTTCACTCTACCTGCTCTAGATCCCCTTGGTTCTTATGGAATGGCTTAAGCATACTAACATGAAATTTTGGTGTACCTTCAATTTTGATGGCATATCTAGCTTGTAAGCAACCTTGCCTACCCTTTTAAGAACTCTAAAAGGCCCCTCATACCTCTGGACTAAACTAAGCCATTATGCAGGTTTTTGTGGTGCATGATGGGGTACAATTTCACCAAGACCAAGTCCTTTACTTAGAATGTACATCCTTTAACTTTTAGTTTGCCCATTACTTAAACTTCTTTGCAGTTTTATGTAGATAGAATCTAGCTAAGTTGATTTGCTCCTACCAAGCTTTGGCAAACTTATATGTTGCTAGATTAGGCTCTATGTAACCTATTGTAATCGAACTAGGTGTTAGCGATTGCTGCCCTGTCACGATCTCAAAAGGGCTTTGGTTCATTGCTTCACTCCACTGTAGGTTTTATGAGAATTGGGCAACATTAAGCAACTTGGGTCAGTCTCATTACATAGTACTCATATAGTATTTAAGGTAGACTTCTAACAATCTATTTACTTGTTCAATTTGCCTGTCAGTCTGGGGATGCATACTGGTGGAAAAGTTTAAGTCTGACCTTAATAACTTAAACAATTCAATCCAAAATTGCACTGTAAATCACCCGTTTCGATCACTAACAATGGTTTACGGTATTTTCCAGTACTTAACCATGTTTTTCAGAAACAAACGAGCTGCCTCATTGGTTGGGCATTCTTTGGTTATTAGAATGAAAGTTCTATACTTGGAAAATTTGTCCACCACTATCATAATGCTCCTAAACCCCTTTACCTCAGGTCGATTGACTAGGAAATCTAGAGTGATACTTTTCTATAGTCAGTTTGGTATAGGCAAAGGCTTCAAGAGACTAGCTGGTGGCTTAAGCTTTACCTTATTTTATTGGTACACAAGATAGATTTTCATATAGGCCTCAACATCATCCCTTATGTGTGACCAATAGTAACCATCCTCTAATAAGGCTAAGGTGTAGCTTACCTCTAAGTGATTAGCCCACTTAAAATCATGGCACTCTTGCATAACCTTCCTGCAGAGCTTTTCATGCTGCGACACAAACAACCTGCTACCTTTGGTGTATAAAAGATCATCTTGCAACCAAAACCATCTAATGTTACCTTGCTTGGCATGGTCGATGAAAGTCTTAGCTATAAGATTGTGGGATAGCCTTTCTCTTATGTACGACACCAAAGATCCTTTCAGTTGGCCAATGGCAACAAGGCTTGCCTTTCGACTTAGGGCGTTTGCCACTGTGTTTGCAGGCCCAGGTTTGTACTCTAACCTATAATCAAATTCTATAAGAAAGTCTTACCAACGAGCTTGTTTAAGGGATAATTTTTTTGTGTTTGAAAGTAACTGGTTGCAACATTATCGATTCTGACCATAAACTTCAACCCTAACAGGTAATGTCGCTACTGTCATCTCTTTTTCTTATATTATGTATCTCTGTTCGATCTTATTGAGCTTCATGCTTTTAAATGCAACCAAATGGTTCTCTTACATCAGCACGCCCCTTATCACAAAGTCTAATGCATCCATATTCACTATATATAGTTTATGGTTTGGTAAGGCTAACATTGGCTCTTCTATCATTATTTATTTTAACTGATCAAAGGCTTGTTGGCAATCGATGCTCCACTCTTACACTTTTTTTGAGCAAATCAATCAATGGCGTGATGATAGATGAGTGACCTTTGATGAAGTGCTGATAGTAGTTAACTAGCCCAAGGAATGATCTCAGCTCGTTGACTTTAATTGACGATTCCCAATCCAAAATTGCACAGACTTTGCCTGCATCTATGAGTATCTTGCCACTTTCCATTATGTGGCCTAAAAATGGTACCTCTCACTGGGTAAGTGAGCATTTTTTTTTTACGAATGGTTTATTTTATCATAGCACTTTGAACACCTCTCTCAAGTGGTTTACATACTCTTCTAATGTTTGGCTATAGATTATAATATCATTAAGATAAACCATAATAAAATGATCAAAGAACAATTGTAATACATTGTTCATAAGCGTGCAAAATGTTGTCGGAGCATTAGTTAGTTCGAATGGCATAACCAAGAATTCATAAAAGCTATAACATGTGACACATGTAGTTTTGGGCTATTTTCTCTTTGCAATCCTGACCTAGTAATACCTTGACCACAAATCCAACTTGGTGAACCACCTTGCATATTTAAGTTAGTCAAACAAGTCAATAATGAGAGGAATAAGATACTTGTTCTTAATGATCAGCTTATTCAGTACCCGGTAGCCAAACACAACCACAAAGACCCATCATGCTTACATTAAAATAGAAATGCTTGCATTAAAATAGAATCGGAGTACCATATAGGGCCTTTAGATGGCTTGGTGTAGCCAACATTGATTAGCTTTCTAAGCTACTTTTTCAACTCTTTTAACTCTGAAAATGATATTTAGTAAAGGGCCTTGGCTGACGGCTTAGCCTC